GATGGATGTTGGATGTTGGGTGGTGGATAGTGGGTGGTGGGTTCTGGATGTTGGGTGATGGATGCTGGATGTTGGGTGGTGGATGTTGGGTGTCCATCTCCTCACACCTGTGATGCCCGTTCCCCTGCCAGGTTCTCAGTGAAGACCTTGTTGGAGAAATACACAGCGGATCCCATCGATGACTCCTCCGAGGAGTTCGTTAACTTTGCTGCCATCCTAGAGCAGATCCTCAGCCACCGCTTCAAAGGTAATGGTGACCCATGGGGACAGGCACCTGTATAGCCCCTGGTGTGTCCCTGTCCCCATCCCTGCACTGCTCGGTGGGTGGAGATGTCTGCATGGATGTGCCAGCAGCAGGGAGGGGGTCTGGTGAGGTTTTCCAGCACAGCAGCAGCCCCCGACCGCAGCCCCTCGGTCCCCACAGGCCCCGTCAGCTGGTTCAGCTCAGATGGGCAGCGAGGGTTTTGGGATTACATCCGCCTGGCCTGCAGCAAAGTCACCAACAACTGCATCAGCAGCATCGAGAACATGGAGAACATCAGCACCTCCAGGGCCAAGGTCAGGAAGGTGCCAGCCCCAGCCTTGTCCCTGCCTCTATCCCTGTCCCCATCCCCATTCCTATTCCTGCCCCTGTTTCCATTCATACCCTGCCCATGGCACATGGTCTCACCCTCATCCCATCTCCATCTCCATCCCTATCCTGTGTCCATCCTCATCCTATCCCCATCCCATCCAATCCCATCCCCATCCAATCCCATCCCATCCCCATCCAATCCCATCCCCATTCTATCTTCATCCCATCCCCATCCCCATCTCATCCTCATTCTATCCAACCCCATCCCATTCCATCCCCATCCTACCTTCATTCTCATCCTATCTCCATCCCATCCCATCCCATCCCCATCTCATCTTCATCCCATCCCATCCCATCCCATCTTCATCCACTCCCATCTGTGGGTCCCTGCGGGGGGATAATGGGTCCAAAAGCAGGTGGGGACCACTCACCTGCCAGTGCCCAGAGCCCCAGGGCAGGTGGGAGCGTGGTGAGGAGCAGTTGATGGTGGCACCTGATGGGCAGCTGATGGTGGCACCTGATGGGCACTGATGGTGACCCCCATCC